GGTAGCTCCCCAGCTCGAGACCCTGTGTAGCGACCACTTGGCCTTTGTACTGGAGGGCCAAAGCTGGGACCTCTTTTTAGCCTCTGCCCGAGGCAAGCATGCCGACGTTTGGCGGCGCATCTTCCAGGAATGTCCTCCCGGCAGGCGTCCGCCTGATTTCGTTTGGGTCAAGGCCCACCGAGGACTCGAAGATGTGCTCGACGCCGAACCCCAGGATATGTCTGACTTTTTGGGTAATCACTGAGCTGATTTTTCGCCAGACTAGGGGCCCAAGTGAACCACTTAGCGCAAGTTGCTGTTGACGCAGAAGCTGCCCACTTCAAGCAAAATAAGCTGACCTGGAGGTCCCTGTCAAGTGCTGTGCAGATTATCAGTACGATGGCTAGCTGTCTTGATAGCCCTGCAGAGCCCAGTCGGACCGTGCACAGTGGCCCGAGGCTTGCTTTGGCTGAGCACGACTTGCATTATTTTGCGGAGTTAGGTATCTGGCGGTGCAGGGAATGTAACGCTTCAGCGTAGTCGCAGTCCACGCTCAAGGGATTGCGAAGTGGAGCGGCCAGACACTGCCGCCCGACTGCCATACAGAGGTGGAGAGCGCAGCTGTTCTTCGCTGAGAACCTCGGTTCGAGGTCCGAATCGTCCCAAACCGCCTCTGCTGCCCTTGCCCTGGCCGAAGACCCCCTGGGCCCTGGGGAACTCTCTGCTCCTCCTGTGGACCTGGGTCCCCTTGTTCCTCTGCCTCCCGAGGGAGACAATGGCCAGGGCACAGACGGGCTTGAAGTCTTTCGTGAGTTGAATCACAGGCCAGCTCGGCACGGCCGAACCATCATTCGCCTGTCTTGTACGTGTTTCCTGATACTGCCCACTGGGCATTGTCGTGGCCTGAAGAAGCTTTGTAAAGGTGCTGCTAAGGCGTGCGCAGACCGTGCGGTGCAGGCCAAGAAGCTGTTGAATGCCGAGCGCGGGAAGCACCCCACTTCTGGTGAACTCCTGGAGCCTGTGTCTGGCGTGCCGAGGCAGGGCGATGCCGCCACTGCTGCCTCTTCTCTAAGGGATGGGGCTGGGGCGGTGGACGGCTCGGGGGAGGGATCCGACTCTTCTGATTGACGGGCTGCATTGCCCGTCTTCCGCGTAACGCAGCTGCCGCGGTGGCCTGCCGCCGTGGCTTGGTCGCCCTGGCGGCCCGCAGTGCCACTCTGGCCCTGCCTTTGCGGCGCGGTTGGCTTCCCTGCCGATCGCCCCGCCCTCTCCTTGTCATCAGCGATGCGCCAGTCATTGACGCGCGCTTCCACTGGCTCGCTCGTCCTCCTCCTCCTCCTCCTCCTCCTCCTCTTCCTCCTCCTCCCCCTCCTCATCATCCTCCCCAAGAGGCCTCTAAGACGCCCAAGATGGCCTCCAAGACGGCGCTTCAAAGGGACCCCACATCGGTTCAGAGAGGCCCCCAAGACGGCTTCCGACGGCGTCAGACCCGTCAGACGGGCCAGGAACGCTCTAAGACGGCCAAGGGGAAGGCCGCCAAGACGCCCCCAAGGCCCCCAAGAGACCTAAGGAGGCCCCCAAGAGGCTTCCAAGAGGCCCCCCGGAACCCCCCAGGAGGCCCCACAAGAGTGCCCCCAGAGGCTCCCAAGAGGCCTCTTCCTCCTCCACATCCTCCTCCTCCTCCTTCTCCTCCTCCTCCCTCTCCTGATCCTCCCCCTCAGCCTCCCCCAAGTGTTCCCCGAAGAGTTTCCGGAGCGGCTGGGGGAATACATAATCAGATAGCTCGGCCAAGCTGGGGCCCAACGTTTGGCCGCATAGGCGCTTCTCAAAAAAGGCTGGGGGCGGCGGTGATTCGCCGTAGGCGTCTTGGATCCGCCGCCCCCTGTGCTTGCCGCAGGGGTGGACGGCGCGCCAGACATTTTGCTCCTCTTGTCATTTTCAAACCCTTCCCAATGGCCTTCGGCCCAGACCGCCTGCCACTCGGAAGGGCCAGAAGGCGTGGCCCACATCGTCACCAAGACGGCCCAAGATGGCCACCAAGATGCCTCCAAGGCGGCTAGGATTGCCCCAAGAGAGCCCAAGACGTCCCCAATATTTCTCCAAGACGGCCCAAGATGCACCCGAGGCGTTCCAAGATGGCCCCAAGATGACCCAGGACGGCCCCAAAGGCCCCCAAGAGGCTTTTAATGCAGTCCAAGAAGCCTCCAAGGGAACCTGCAGGAAGGCCCGAAGAGGCAAAGACAGCTGCTTCCCCGTGGGCTCTTGACGGATTTTGACGTTTTCGGCCTGCCGACGGCCCAATGCCGCCGAAGAGACCCCCAAGATGGCCCCAAGAGCGCCCAAGAGGCCTCCAAAACGGCCCCATGACGGCCTCCAGACGGTCCAAGGCCCCCAAGGCGCCTCCAAGACGGCCCACGAGAACCAAGGCGCCCACTCGTCATCGTGGTCGTGGTCGTGGTCGTGGTCGTAATCGTGGTCGTGGTCGTGGCACATAGTTCCTGGGGCCTTCTTGGGGCCCTCGTGGAGCCCGAGCCATCTTATGGGCCAACCAGGGTTCCAAGAGGGCCCTAAGAGGGCCCCAAGATGGGCCAGGCCGGAATCCCACGGAGACCCCGGGGCACCTCCGATGTTCCACGGGGGACAACGGGTAACTCCGACGTCCCACGGGCCGATATCCCACAGTGACCACCGGGTAACTCCGATGTCGACATCGGAGTTGCCCGGTGTCCCCCGGGGGCCACCGGGTAACTCCGGCGTCCCACGGGCCGATGTCCCACGGAGACCACCAGGCAACTCCGATGTCCCACGGGGGGCACCGGGCAGCTCCGATGTCCCACGGGGGGCCACCGGGTAACTCATGCCCAAACCATCCCCTGCAATGTTGAGCTACCCGATGTCCCCCGGGGGACACCGGGTATCTCCGATGTCCCACGGGCCGGTGTCCCACGGGGACCACCGGGTAACCCCGATGTCCCACGGGGGACACCGGGTAACTCCGATGTCCCACGGGCCGATGTCCCGGGGACCACCGGGTAACTCCGATGCCCCACCGGGGACACCGGGTAACTCCGATGTGCCACGGGGGGGCACCGGGTAACTCGTGCCCAGACCCCCCCCCTGCAAGGTCGAGTTACCCGATGTCCCCCGGGGGACACCGGATAACTCCGATGTCCCACGGGCCGATGTCCCACTGGGGCAACCGGGTGCCTCCGATGTCCCACGTGGGACACCGGGTAACTCCGATGTCCCACGGGCCGATGTCCCACGGGGACCACCGGGTAACTCCGATGTCCCACGGAGGACACCGGGTAACGCCGATGTCCCACGGGGGGCCACCACTTAACCATGCCCAGACCCCCCCCCTGCAAGGTCGAGTTACCCGATGTCCCCTGGGGGGTCCACGGGTTGACCGAATAATGCCAAACGCGCCCCTTGCAAGGTCGACTTACCCGACGCCTCTCGGCGGACACAGGGTACGTGGAGGGTGCGGAGCGCACCCCCCGCTTGCCCGATGCCCCCCGGGGGACACCGGGCAACTCATGCCCGATACCCCCCCGTGCAACGTCGAGCTACTGAGATGAACGTCGGCTTTGTTAGACCGTATGAGCTTTATAAGGAGTTGCTCAGGTGGTCACTGTGTGGACGCACCCCGCTGGTATGCCAGCAGCATGCTGATATAGCGACTTGGCTTGTTTATCATATTTAGCTAAAGTCCGCCTGGATGTTAATCAACCAGCATAAATTATATGATAGGCTTAGCGGTTGCTAAGTATGATATAGGTTGAACATCGCGTTTTCTCCCTAATTGCGATAACATGTTGGTATTATGTTAAACTTAGCTGTTTATCGCGGGTTAACTTGAAACTATGTTAGCTGAGCGTTCGATTTCGACCTATGCTCAACCCCCAAAAAACATATCTCTTGAAGCAGAATATGCATCTTCGCGTTTAACACGTAGCTCCCGATGCATTGCAAACTTGAGAACCAACTGGGCAACGAACGCAACAAAACAAAAAAAAATGAAATTCGAGCTCGAACCGACCAATATTTCACAATCCATCCGTCGGTCAGTATGATTGCCCTCCGTCTAAGCTGAAGGTTCGGGATGACCGCGCGTATCGCATCACAGAGCCAGTTCGGTGTATTCAAGACCAACCTGCATTGCACATGCAAACATGAAAAATATGTGAACGCATCAGTTTTGAATTTGTGGAGAAGAGTGGGGGGCATGCGAGCCATTAGGTACGTGATGGGCCTGGAACGCTTTACTTGCGATGAGAAGTGTGGACCTTGCGGTTGCGTTTGCCCTCCGTCGTTTGCATGGCCGCTTCCGTTCATAACATCATAGCTGTGCGTTTTGAGCTTCTCACTTTCGAGCGCCGCATGCCGCGCGCGCGATGGCCCAGCTCACCGAAGCTTTTAAACAGCAGTTCCAGAAGATGTTGGGTTTGAAAAAAAGTTAGAGCGAACGAGCATTTGGACAAACTTATGCACTGCCTCCGCGACCACAAGGTGGCGTGCAAAGTGGGCCACATCCCTGCGAAATTTGTCATCGCTCATGTGGGACATCGAGGGGGGCTTCTGGTGAGCCCGCATAATGCGCACCGCAATGCTGCTAGAATCCACACTTGCGGAGCTGACATGCGCCAGCTATCAAATGCTCGGCGCATCGAGCCGGGGGTCAACTCACCCCTCCGCTGGCAGCACACTGCTGAGAATAAGCAGCTGGTTGATCGAGCCCAGGGGCTTCTAGCGCCTGTGAATGGGCCAGCGCGCTGCGCGACAGTCGGGCGCGGGCACACCGCGGCTTGTTGCAAGCAGGCAGGAGTTCTGGGCAAGACGTCGCAGAAGTCATTGCAATGCAGCGACTCTGATTTGACCGGCGTGCAGAAGTTGTTCCAAAACGCACAATTCAAACTCATGCTTGAGAAAGGCTGGGCGTGGGAGGTGGTCCCAAGTGTGATTGACGAGCTGTTCCCAAGCTTTGCAGTTGTAGCCCAGAGAGAGCTTTGACCACGCAGAACCGCATCGGCACTGAGGTCGGGGAGCTCGAGACCTGCACGACCTTGGCGGCGAGCGCCAATGACCCAGGGATGCGCGAGCTCGAGGGCTGGAAAGAGTTGGCTATCGAGAACGTAGTTTCGCTCAGCGTGCCGAGCGCTAGGTACAGCAAGACCTTGCTTGAGTTCGTCGAGCATTTCGGCGGCGGCGGCGTCGCTCCCCTCGTGGCGTTCCTGGATTGTGCTGCCAAGCAAGTTGGCTGCAACGCTGCGCTCGGGCAACCGTTTTGGGAAGCGCTTGCGCGCGCAACTTTCGCATCGAAGACCAGCATGCATCCTTTGATTCGGGTGGCAATTGCCATTGCAAACCTCACGGGTGACAAGGCTGAGGACGGCGTGGCGCGCATACTGGTGAAAGCTGACGTCACGAGGGTCGCAGGCAAGCCTAGGATGGCTGAAGCAGCTATTGCTGAACGCATCCTTGGCGAATCCATGGCAATCGCAAAGGGGCTCGACAGTGTCGAGGCGGCCTTGGAACCGGTTGGGCAGCTATTCGCGAGGGTTGCGTTGAGGCCTGCGGGGAAGGAGAAGATGGGCCGGGAGGACAAAGAGCACAAGTGGGGCGACATATGCAAATCATTCTTGGACAGCTCCAGCTGCCACAAGGGTCAGACCGTCACGCTCGACGAGTGGGCTAAGTGCGAGGCCTCGGGCGGCGCCGCAGCAACTGCCAAAGCGAAGACGACTGCTGCAGCCAGCGCGGCGACGCTCAGTGACCATAAAGACCCGAAGTGGATTGCCAAGCAGGCTGGATACTCGGCTGGGTGCTTCGTAGTCCAGGAGGACGTTGCAGCCCAGTGGCCTTGCACGGTCTTCAACATCGGCCAGACTGTCAAGCTCCGCGAAGCTGCCGACCGCGACTCGGACCGAGAGCCACACATTGCTGAGATTGCATTTGCCGGTCTCATTGAGCAGTGGTCGATCTCGACGGCAGAGCCGCCAATGCAGATGGCGGGCGATCAGCAGCGCCCACAGCAACTGCGCATCGACAAGCAGGGGCTGCGTTGTAGCGAGCTCTTCTCGAACTGGATGCCAAGCACATGGGCAAGCATAAGCTGGTCTTGTGGCGAACCAGATGAGGTTCGGGCCACGAGCGCGATCAAGCAGGGACAGCTTACGTTTGTCCCAGTGGCACCACTTACCAACATAAGTTCGAAGAACACTGGGTCGGGCATATCGCTTGGCGATCACGCGGTTGACAGCGACACCACGGTTCAAATATTTGTGTTGCCTGTGGGGAAGCCGCAAGACAACGGCACCACCCAGTTCGATGAAACCGCATTTGTGGCTGCGCACTAGTGGGTCGGGTCAACCCACGATAAGAAGCAAACCAACGTGGCTGCGGGCCACGTGTCCCACGGTGGCTTCACGCTGCCACTGCTGACCAACATTGTCGACATCCGGCCCAACGTAAAGCTCCAGATGTTCGTCAAGTCCAAGGCTAAGGCTGTGCCAATCCACGAGCAGCTCCAAGAAGCAGAAGAGGCCGTGAGCATCATTCAGCATGCACGGGTGCTATACGTCAGGCGTGCGCGCGTGCGTTTTGCATCGCGCGCGCGCCATTATCTCGAGCTCTACAGCGTAGATCATCGCAGCACTCTGCAGTGCTATAGTCCATATGCTGCCGCGCAGTAGGGGGGACGTAGACGGTGGGAAGGGGGGGGGGGGGGGGCGTATAGGGTGGAGTGTTCTTGAGGAGGTAGGACGAGGATGGGGGCGGAGGCCGAGCTGTCGCCCCGTCGGCCAGCACGAAGCTTTGATGTCGGACATATGCATGCGCGCAAACGGGCACGCAGATCAGCCATGCGCTTGCAAGGCAGTTCTCTCTGCGAGCAACCACGCGCGCACTGCCCCCCCCCAAAAAAAAATAAACCATTCCCCCCCCCCCCCCCCCCCCCCCCCCCCCAAGATGCCATCCACGATCCCATGCCACTTCGGAGCTTCAGGAGGCATGGCGATCACGCAGGATGATGAGGTGGCGGGGTAGGGGGGGGGGGGGGGGGGGGGGGGGGGGGGTGCAGCGGGAGGTCAATGCCATTGCATTTTCTCATCTGCTCGGCCGCAGCGGAGCGCGCCTCAGAGGTTTCATATGAGGGGCTCAGCCTATAGCCCGCCGCCCCGTCCGACACCAACGTTCCCCCATGCCCGCGCGCTCGGCCCGCGGCTCTCATTGACCACGCCTCTCCGCGTGTGCCACCGCCCACCCCTAAGCAATTTAGCGCGGAACTGAACGAGGGCGCACGTTCTAGGAGCAGGGGGAGAGGGCTGAGAGGCGAGAAGGATGAGATAGAGAAAGGGAAGAAGAGGGAGAGACGGAGAGAGAGAGAGAGAGAGAGAGAGAAAGAGACCGACCGACCGAGAGAAAGAGAACATAGCGTGGATGCTCGGCTCAGTGAGATCGTCGTGGACATCTTGGAGCAGATTGCGATGCGAAGATAACCAGCAGTGCGACGATGGCGCGCATGGCATCATGGACGCCGAAGAAGAATACCATGTGCGACGGGGGCATCATATATGCTATATATATATATATGCCAAGCGAGCGGCCCTCTTGGGCTCGCCCCCAGCCGTCCAGGGGTCATCCCGATCGACGTTATGTTATGCCATGCTATGCTTGTGCAGGCCCTTGTGGCCCTTGTGGGCCTGCCCGCGGCCGTTCAAGGACGCGATGTCGTTTCGTTTCGGCGATGTCGTCGTTCTCCTCGCCCCCTCCCTCCTCCTTCTCCTAGATCCGTGGCCTATCTCGCCCATCTCATCACCCCCCCCCCTCCCCCTTCGCCTCGCCCCCCCCCCCCCCCCCTCTATAACGTCGTCTACTTCGCGTCGCGCTTCTACGAAGCAATCGCGCGTCAGCCGTTCGGCTCAGGTGAGCGTCTAGCATCACGACTTGCTGCTAGCAGCATGCAGAAAGCTACGCTTGAAATTTCTCGCACCGTCAAGCTGGGTGGTATAAAGCCAGTTTGGCGGATTTTCAAGCCCAATGATGCGGCTGCAGTAGGTGGCGATACGTTTGTCCGAATCTCACCAGCGCAGTATACATTGAAGAGCCCTGTGGCTTACCATATACCAGAATGGTGGAGTCCCATCGGAACTGGAGCAACAGGCAGCAGTCCTGAGCAGGGGGCTGAAGGCGTTGCTAGCCCAGCGGAATGAACAGCAGTCGGCCGAGCTCAAGCAGGAGCATACCCAGCATGTGTGCAGCTTGTTTAAAACGCCACCGAAGCAAACAAAGCTCGCCCGGTCCCACGCCCAGAAGGCTGACCTGAAGCGGGAACCTGATGCAATGTGCATGGACGTGGTAGTTAACACGGTTGTTCAAGTGAAGGTTCCGAGGCCAATTCATCCATGTGATAACCTCTTCGTAGCGTATAAGCCTGAGGCTTTGGCTGCGGTGATTCGCATCACGAGGACAATGGGGTTCGATGGGCCGCAGAAGCGAGAGCGATTGCCTGACCTGCCCAAGGGTGTCCACAGGAGAAACGGCTTCGTACTTGCCAGGTTTAAGTAACAGGATGGTTCGAACGGCTGCAAGACATGCAAAACTGTTGAAGGTGCTGTCCAGTTCCTAGCAACCGAGCGCTCCGCCCACAGCGCCGACGACATCATGTACGAAGGTGCTTCCCAGAGTGAGCTCCCCGACGACAGCGCGCCTGCCGACCCCGAGCAAGGCCGTGCCTGACAAAGCTGCAAGTACAGACTAAGCCAGATGGCTGACAGCACCCGCATGATTGGGGTCTGCAGGCTTCGGAGTTGTCGATTGAGAACAAAAAAAAGCTTTCCTTGCTTGCCAAGCCGATTGGCTGCATTGATGCGTTTCCGTTTGGGGGTTGGGGGCCGGGGAATGCCATCGTAGAATCGCCTGTGTTGGCTCAGAGCGCAATACTTCAGCAGTACTTCAATAGTACTTCAGCAGTGCTCCAACAGTGTTTCAGCAGCAGGTCAGCAGTACTTCACGGCACCGAAGGCGGCGGCCGCCAATCAGGCAGCGGAGATCGCTCGCCTGAAGCAGAAGATCGTGGACCTGAAAAAAAGACAAGAATGCGCTGAAAGAGAAAATCGATGCGCTGGAGAGGTTCGTCACGGCCATGGCCAACAAGAGCGAGGCCAACGCGCGCGTGAAGCGCATCTTCACCAATGTGCGGAAGCCGCGGGTCCTCCGCACGAGCACGGGGGTGCAGTGCAAGCCCGCTAGGCTGGGGAGGCTCCAGCGCCTTTCGGAGCTTCCCGCCGCCCTGCAAGCCGCGGACGCCACCGACGACGACGACGGCGAGGCGACGACCACATCCTCGGGTTCTTCGGGGCCGTCGCAGGGGCCATCGCCAGCTGGCAGCGGGCTGGGATCGCCGCTTTGGGCTGCGATCGCCATTGCGGGCTGCGATCGCCGTGGCGGGCATCTTCAAGAACGGGTGCCGCCCATGAAGATGCCCGCAGCGGCCCATGACTATGCCCGCAACGGCCCACGAAGATGCCGACAACGGCGATCACAGCCCACAGTACATTAGCTTCAATAGCTCACGCGAGCTCCATGAGCTCACATGAGCTTCAATATAGCTCACATGAGCTTCAAGTGGGGTGGCATTTGCATGTTTTGCGCGCGCGAAGGACATTATATGCATTGTGATCGATGAGTTCGTGATGTGATGAGAAACAATAACCTTCCTTTGTTGCCCCACGTTGCGATCTTGATCCAGTTGCGGTGGAGGAAGAGGGGGGGGGGTCGGGGGGGGGGGAGGGTGAGTTTTGCGACGCCCCCGACGTTGCGCTATGCTATGCCATGCGCGCGGCCCAAACCTCTGGCTCAGATAGCTACGCTATGCGCGTGGTCCGATGCAATGCTACGCCATGCGACGCGATGGCCCACTCGAAGCATAAGGCCCAGACCCCCCCACACACACACACACACACACCACAGTTAAAAACTCAATCTCGGAATGGCCTCAACCGTCAAACAGTTTCACTTCGTCGATGTCGTCGTTCTCCTCGCCCCCTCCCTTATCCTTCCCCTGGCTCCGCGGCCTCTCTCGCTCATCTCACGGGGCGCCCCCCCACTTCCCCCCCCCCCCCCATACGACGCCGTCTATGTCGCGATTCAGAAAATATAGCAAAACAGGTCACAACATACATCAAACCAATACAACGCAAACATGTCAAGCATGATGGCATGCCACAGGCCGTGGACATGGATATACCCCAGCGCCCGCTAGAACCTCGACTGCACCCGATGTGGCCGAATAGTTTCATGTGGCCTAGTTTGGGGCGGGCATGTCTCAAGCGGGCCTCGGAGGTCAGAAACGCCACGCCGAAGACAGGTCCTGATTGGCCCCGAGGTTCGCCGATCCAGAAATGACCCCCGAGCCTCCTCCGCACATCCTCCACCTCCTCCTCTTCCGCGTCGGCCGTTTTGGCTGGGGGCCCCGCGGGGGCCCAACTTCCAGGGCGCGCGGGCCTTGCAGGGCGCGCGGGCCCCGCTTCCAGCGCGCGCGGGCCTCGCCTCCAGGGCGCGCCGGCCTCGCCCCCAGAGCGCGCGGATGGGCCTCTTCCGCGGCGGGGGCCCGGTCACGGAGCGCAAGACCGCGCGTGGGCCAGCGCAGCCTGAGGAGCCTCCGCCGACGCGGCTGCGGTTGACGCCGTCGGGCGCCGCCGACCCCGACATCGCCGCCTTGGCCGCGATCGCGGAGGAGGCTGGCAAGGTGGTGTACAACCCGTTTCGCCACGCGACGCTCGCTGCGCAGGTGGGCGCCTGCGAGAACAGCGCGTTCCTCCAGAGGGCCGAGGAGGACACGCTGCGCGCGGCGCAGCAGGCGGCGGGGCTGCACTTCAACACGGGGCTTGAGGTGCCGGGCGGCCGGCACTGGAAGACGGTCGAGACGGTCGACGTCGGCGGTGAGCAGCAGAGCGTCTACTTCTTCAGGGCGGACGACGGCTGGCGCGCGGCCACCGCGCTGTGGGTGACGAAGCGGCATCGGCAGTCCGCCCAGAAGGAGAACGGCGCGGTCACCCTGTGCTGGTCGGCGGCGAGCAGTGGTGATTTCCAGGACGCGCCGACGCAGCCGCCGCACTTCCCGCGGTGGTCGGCCAGCGAGGCGGACAGCGTGATCGCGGCGAGTGGCCAGCGCGCGTTCGAGCAGGCGCTCGCGCGCAAGACCGCCGACTCGAGCTCGGCCAAGGGCGACGCCAGCTCCGCCAAGGGCGCCGACGGCAGCGGCGGCAAGGGCGGCGAAGACGGCGGCGGCAAGGACGCCCCGCGCGGCAAGGGCGGCAAGGGCGGCTGGACGCCGCGCCGTGCGATGTTGATTTCGTGCTAAGAGGGCGCCGACTACCAGGCATTCGAGCCGCGCGCCGCCGAGTACAAGGCGAGCAGCGCCACGCTGCGCCAGCTCCTAGGTGCGTAGTATGATGATATGGCGGCTCAGCGTTTGACTACAGAGACTCGGTAGTCA